CACCGATACTAGTATCAGTGCGATACAGAGTATTTGGGCGAGTACTCCTACTCACGCAAATGCTCCGATACCTTCCCCGATATCGGAACTTACGGCCAGATGAAAATTTCCTCTGACTGGCAGTGCCGTAGGGGAACATGGAGCCAGCTTCCCGTGCAACCAGGAAGCCGTGCGGCAAGTAATGGCCCGACTCCTGGTTTTCTGATTGGCCGGGAAGCCGGCTCCTTGCTGATTGGCTGGAAAGCCGGCTTCCTGGCCAATCAGCATCGAGCCAGTTTCCCGGTCAATCAGGTCATTACTCGTTACCCGGCTTCCTGAACAGGTTTCCCGGCCAATCACAATCAAGCAGGCCAAACAACATGGTGTAATGAAACTAATTAATTGGAAGATGGAACTCAGCTGCGGAGACACGTTAACAATCACGTGCTCTGGCCGAGGAGTACGTGATGGCAAGGTTTAATATTGCCAAGCAACCTCCGTGCATCATTGGTCTATCTTCCAACCTCACTAAGCTTGCTATACCTATAGGGAATAGTAGGAGGGATAGAGCAGTAATTTGAAATACTCTGGATCAATAGTTTGATTGGTCAGGTTCACTTATGTTAATTCACACAGTAATACCCCCCATACCGGTAATTATGTTCACTTCACACAAGTCCAGTACTTCAGTAAGACAGTCTATTACATCAGTAATTCAGCAATGAAAAGAGTTCCAGTGTGTCAGTATTGCCATTCATGTAGGAATAATGCTTACATTGCCTGCATAGTATATGCACCACATATGATCAAATGCTGTAGTAAGTTGATAAATCCAGGGTTTAAGTAGTCAGCTAAAGCCCCAATGGCTAACAACCCAGAGGGGTATACTTGCAGTTAGATGTCCTGGTGGGCAATTTGGTTGAGTCCTGCTTACGCTAGCGCAGAGTCCCCGTTGAGGGCTGGCAGCTGGGTTGCAACACTCAGTAAGAGAGGTCCTCCTGTCAGAGAGAGCAGTAGGTGGAGCTGGCTGTAAGGAGACCGGCACTCGACTGGCGTCCGCATGGGGTTGCTGGAACGCCAGACAGTTGCACGGTCGCGTCTTATGACGAGGAAGGGAGGGTCCCGCCTGACGTCGTCGGCCCGGGGGCGGAGCTTCCGCTTGAGTCCGTGACTCGGAACGGCGACGTCCCCGGGAGCCATTACACATGGAGCCGGCTTCCGTGGCAATCAGGAACCTGGGCGGCATGTCATTACCCCCTGATCGGGCTTCCTGATTACCAGGGAAGCCAGCTCCATGCCAGCGGAAGCACCGGTATATTAGTATTCAGTGTCGGCAAGATCCGAAAGCAAAAAATCGGTACTCGTACTCGATAACGAAAAACCGGTATTGGTGCATCCCACTATTTTTTTGTATTGGGACAAGTAGATTGTCATGAAGGACAAGTAGATTTGGCCCCCGCTTTAGCCCTTGGACAAGTAGTTTTTTTTTTAAATGTCCACACCCCTGATGTGGCTTTTATTTTTAATTGTTTTTACACTTAATGTTATTGCTATAACATAGGGGGATAACAATCCCCCTATGTGACAGCACAGGCACACTGACAGGTCCTCTTTATGGAGACATCAGGGCTCTCTAAGATCCCTAATGTCACCTGGGGACTCCCAAAGAAGCTGATGAAGCAGAGCTCTGTTACACCAGCTTCTTCTTTGGCTATAGCAGCCAGAGAAATGACAGCTAAAGGCAGAGATGACGTAATACACATCGCTACCGCCTATAGAGAGAGGAGGAGAGATCAGCAGTGGGGGAATTTTGATCTCTCCTCCGTTCTCACTGCAAGCAGTCACTATGCCGGTCCCGGGCCTAGCGGGAGGACAGCAGAGCCCAGGAAAACTGGCAGCGGCAGTGAAGAAGAGGGGAGCGGAGGTGGCGGCTGTACATCGCCATCAAACAAACGAATGGACCGCTATAGAGTGGCCCAAACACTTGCATGTCAAAGCTGGTATCGGCTGTTAAAAGATTTTTGGGGGATTCTGCTCGCACGGGTGAAGAATAAAAAAATCATGTAAATACACGCCCAGCCTGTGTAGTCACATTGGGCGGACAGCAAGTGGTTAAAGTGCTTTTTAATGCCTGTTCAACATATGCTAACACTTCAGTGTGCATAGTCTGCACACAGCATCATTTCAAAGTCCACCTCCAACCAAAACTTTTTTTATGCAATGAGAAAGGAAATAGCCTCTCTTGGATTTGTATAACCATCCAACCATCCCTTTCCCGTATCTATGTCCATGTCGGAGTGAGGAAGGGTTAGAATGTTTGTATTTTTGTTCTTGCCTTCCTGTCCTGATGACTACCCACCATTTCTTCAATGGATGCTACAGGGACAAAAAGCAAGGCAAAATCTCCCCGATGGGGTTACAGCCATAAAGAAAAAGCTGACAAACATTATGCACTCTTCCACACTCTATTCAAAACTAACAGAGCTATTCACGAAGAGTTTGGAGAAGGCAGGAGAAGTGAACAATCTAGGACAATATAGCTGAACTGGAAAGTGAACTGAATTGGGGAATGTTTCCAAATCAGCTATTTTGTCCTAGATTGTTCACTTCTCCTGCCTTCTCCAAACTCTTCACCCTTTTGTGAATAGCCCTGTAAAAAAATGGCTTTAACAATAAAGATGCACAAGAAAAGGTCTAACCCAATCATATAAAATAACACATAATTGTATCAAATGAATGTGTGCAATGTAATTGTACAATTTTACATACTGTTCTTTATAGCAGTTATAGAATCACCTTCACATTGCAGATGTTTTATGTATTGTGTGCACAAATATCTTACAATTAAAACATAATTCTTTTAAAAATATTATAACCTGTATGGCCTTTTTAAAATCTTCCAAGGACAGGTATTAAACGTCATCTTGCTTTAGCTCTGATGCCTAATATGTACAATGGTGTAAGGCAATAAAATAGCAGTGTTACTGAAAATATAGCTAAACTGCTGATGACCAATCCTCCCCTTATTCATCATAACTGTTGCCACAGTGTTTGTGACCAGTCTACGCATTGACACATTGCTTTACAATGCCTTATTTTACCAACAAACCAGTTCAATGTCAAAACAGGGAAAGATAAAACATGAGAAAGCAAAGTAAAACACTTGGACCAGAGATGTAATAAATGCATTAAGAAAAAAGCTGGACATATATTATAGAATATTACTGACTACTTACTACTAGCGATGCACCAAAATTTAGGTCACAAATGGTACTATGGGCAAAATGCAGATGGTACCAAAAATGAAGGTGAACATTCAGTGCACCCCTAGTTTCTCTCCTCCCCGCTGGGCGCCGCTCTGTGTCCCCTCTGATCCCCGCTGCTCTCCACCGAGAGGCAGAGGCAGTGGGGATCGGAGGGGGCAAAGACCAGCGGGGAGGAGAGAAACTGTCAGGAGGCCGAGCGGGGAGGTGCAGGGAGAAGACAGCTGTCAGTTGTTACAGAAGGCCGAGCTCTCTTCCCGCACCGCCCTACTGCTCGGCCTCCTGTGACAGTTTGGATGGAGATGAAGTACAAGTGTTTGCAAATAACCAAGGGCATAGTGTGCTTACTGTGCCCCTAGTTATGAATGAACAGTATGTGCTATACATCACTTCCTGTTCATTGATGATTGCGGACATGGTGACTGTTACTATCTCCACAGTTTGTGAATGGACAGGAGCACTCAGTATAGAGGCCGAAAAACAGATTTGGAACTCTTTGTCCTTTATCTCTTTTTCTATTTTAAAAAGGAAATGTCAAAAAGGGAAATATCAGGGGTCTGTTTAGTTCCCTGATATTTCCCCAAAGCCACTAACAGTAAAGTAAAAAATAAATAAATACAAATAAAATAATTAAAAAATTAATTTAAACATTTGAACCACTTCAAGCGGGTGGCCGTTTTTATATGGCCGGCCTCTTAAAGCGGTTCTACCATGTGGTACCATTATAAACAGCCAGCGATGGCTGTTCAGATACAAAGGATCCGGTGTCTATACAGCCGCTGGAATGTTTGTACTGAACAGTGGAGTGTGCCCTCTTTCGCCTCCGCCGCCGTCTACCCTGTCCCCCGTGCAGGCCCGGCGGGTCTCCTTGCATTGACGAGAATGAGATCAGCAAGCTCCCAGCCGCTGATCACTCCTCCGCTCACTGGATCAGGAAGTGGTGTGTATTACATCACTTCGGGTGTCACTGTGCACATTCTACAGCTCTTCGATCCAGGAGAAGCTGGTGAAGCAGATCTCCGCTTGATCAGGTTCTTTGGGATCCCTAGGTGACATTAGGGATCTGAAAGACCCTTGATGTCTCCATATAGGTCACATTATATTTGCTGTTACATAGCCTCCTATATGATAGAAATACAGTTGTGTAAAAAAAATAAAATAAAATGTAAGTAACATATACAAAAAATTAAAAAAAGCAAAAAAATATATTTTACAGTCCCCCGCCACCAGGTAAACACACATAGAAGTGCAAACATGCGACAGCTGCTTCTATACGCAAAAACGATCATTGCTCTGCACATGTTACATATCACCGTGAAGTCGGAGTGAGAGCAATAATTCTAGGGCCATCAATCACTGTTAACACTAAACTGATGTGCAGTAAAAGCGTCGCCTATGGATAATTTTGGGTATTGTAGTTTTTTGCGGTTTCACAGATGCACGCGATTTTAAGGCTTCACATGTTTGGTGTCTCTTTACCCAGCGTGACCCCATCTTTTATATTTTACCAAAAAAATTATCAAGATTCTCAATCTGTAATAGTAAATAATAACAGAATTACCACTTTTAAAATCATCCATAACATAGATGAGAAGGGCAAAACCTGCAAAAGCTGATAACCACAGAAGGTCAGCTTTGCAGGTTAAGTAACACAAGCCAATACATGATTAAACTAGGATTGTGCGAGGCCATGAGTGTTACCATTCATTTTCCAATAAGCACCCACACAAACTATTCTCACACAAGAAAACCTCTTACCTGACTTTTGACAGGTAATTAAACTCTATGGCTGTGCAGACTGTATGGCCATCAGTCATCTGTAATCGAAGCATTCTGGGTGCTGCCTGAGACTCTTCATTGTCTTTTGGTGCAGACACATTGCGGATTTTCTGAATTTGTAAAACACACGGGCCATCTATCTGGAAGAAGTGAGGGAAAGTGATCAGAAAGCAAATATACATGGAAATATACATTTGTGAATACCTGAACATTTGGTCTCCATTTTAGGTAAACACAGTACACTCAAATACCTAAAGGGTAACTCCAGATAAAATACTACGTACACATAAGAAATATGAGCAAAAAAAGATACACTGAACAACCCCTACCATATTGCATATCATTAAGACATAGCTCTTTAATTGCTTGGGAATTTACAGACTTACTACATTGTCCAGGCCAGGGCTGAGGCAGCGCAGAGTCCTCCCTTACACGCTGTGATCAGGAGGAGGCAGTGCAGTCTGGGTGGCAGTCCCACAAATGACACAGGGAGAACTGCTATTCCCAAAGGCAGCCTAACTGAGAGGTGAGCCAATCTGACAGTATACTCTGCAGGGCTAAGCTATTAGCTTAAAGGAGAACTATGAGGTGAGTGCTTTTCCCTCACCTCATAGTTCTAGCCGACCAGTGACAATGAGACTGTCACAGGTCGGCTCAGTAGATCGGGAGGTGAGCGAACACATACCGGGTTCGCTCGCCTCTTGATCCTGTCACGGCTCTCTGCCGTGACAGGGGGAGGGGCTGGATTCCCCTCTCCCCGCTCCGATCTGCCAGCGCTGACTGGCGGAACGGACGGGGGAGGGGGCGGGTACAGCTGGCTCTGCCTCTAGATAGGCAGAGCCAGCTGTCACTCACACAGCTGGGCGGATCCCGTCATCTAAGTCGAGATCCGCTCCGGCTGCGGCGTCTCAGTATACCGCGAGCTGTAGCTCGCGGTATACTGAACTTAGGGTAACGGGAGGACGCTAGTTTGTGTCCTCCCGTTACCCTAAGGAGAACTATGGGGAAAAACACTGACCCCATAGTTCTCCTTTAAAAGCTGGTCCCGTTCTGTGTCTTAGGAGCACTGACACCGACTCCTGTAGGAACAAAATCTGCAAACAGTTTGCCGGCTTTATTCATAAGCAGTGCTCATGTGCAAATCAAAGTTAAAAAAACCATTTGATCTCATTTTGCCAGTTTTAGAAAACTTGCAATTACAAAACATTGCAAAATAAATAAATTATAAAAGGTTTGTCCCCCCAAAGAATAAATAACCCATTAATAATCATAACTTGTTTTAATAACTCATTTTGTATCTGTTTTATCTGTTTTGGTGTTTTTTTTGCCAATTTTTTTTTCTGTTCATGTCAACTTTTTTGGTCATTTTGCTTATTTTTTTTAGTGTCTCATGAAAAAAAAAAGCAAAATTAAAAAAGAAATTAAACTTACAATTGCAATTTAATTTGTAAAAAAACATTACCATGCTAAGAGTTAACCATATTTCTCAGGTGGAAGAACAATTCTGCCTATCATAATATTAATGAAAACCTAGCTCTGGTTTACCATACTCCTTATGACCAATCACACTGATTTAACTACATTGCAAATTCTCCTTCTATTAACTGAAAGGCAGCAAACCTAGGGCTGACTGACGGCAACTGTAATTTCTACACTTTGTTTCTGCCAGTGTAAGGCTGCAACTAATGATTATTTTTGTAATCGGTTAGTTAATTATTTTTTTCGATTAAAAAGGATTTTAAAAATACCGTTCTTAATATAAAATAAAATACAATACACAAATGCAGTGTTACAACCAAAGTTTACGTCAGAATAAAACGGTATGCATATTTTTTGCACTTACAAGGCACTGGACTGCATATTATTGCAGTACCACACATTCCATTGCAGGTGATCACACTTCGGCCGGGAGGTGCGTTTGGAATGCCATTGAAATTATGGCACCACAATGCACATTCTGGAGAAGAATTTTCAGGTCCAAACCAATAATGGCGCTTGCCACTCTTATAAAATCCCAGTCATCAGTTTAGAGATAGCCATAAATATTGGCCCGAGAATAACTGCTCTCACTCTGGCACACAGGGCGATACCTGACATGTGTAGCGCAATCGTCGTTTTTCTATGTAGGTGCACCCGACTTGTGTTTCCATTAGTATACGCGCGTTTGCAGGGTTGGGGGACTTTCAATAATTCCACTTCACTGGATTCAGCTTGGAGTAATAGCCAGCCTGTTATTGGTTATTTTAAATTGGAATAGCCAATAGCATGCTGGCTATTGCACCCGGCCACTGCCTGCTGTCAATCAGCAGAGGAGGGAATTGAAGGAGAAAGTTATACTTCAGGTCCTGCTCTGCTGATTGATAGCAGACAGCGGCCGGTGCAATAGCCAGCCTGCTATTGCAATTTAAAATAACCAATAGCTTTGATGCTGACTTTCTACCCTCGGCAGAAGAGGGGGTAAGGGAGAGCAGCAGAGTTACAGGGGCAGCAGCGCAGGAACGGGGGGAGCAGCAGAGGGTGGACAGCAGTACGGAGGAATAGCGGCAACAGCGGAGGAAAGGGCGGTAACAGTGCGGTAATGCAGAGGCACAGCGGTCCCTCCTTCCTGCTGGTGCTGGGTGCAGCGGTCTGTGTCCCCGCTGCCTCTGCCAATAAGCAGCAAGAGCAGCGGGGATTGAAAAGGGACACAGGCCGCTGCAACCAGCACCAAGGGGAGGAGAATAGAGAAGTAGAGCGGCGGTGGCAGTGGCTGCAACTAAACTAATTTTTTTTTTAGTCCCCTGGCCCCCCCCCCCCACAGGGCAGGGGGTTGAAGGCAGAGGAGTCATAGGATTCTTCTGCCGTCAATCAACCTGTTGGTGGGAGAGGAGGGGCGCAGCCTGCCACAGTGCTGTGTGCATCTATGGACGCACACAGTCACTTGAGGGCACGACCACGCACAGATGCCTTCATAGCTCAGTTTTGCTGATGCAGGCATCCGTGCACCTCGGGGTGCCGGCGCTGCAGGGAGCCACTAGAAAACAAGAAATAAAATTTCATGAAAAACACCAAATGATTTGTTGTTGTATAGGCCTCATTTTTATCAAATTAATATCACTTAAACCCTTGCATTGTGGGAGTAGCCCCATTGCAAGGCTTAATAAAAAAAAGGATTTTCTTCCCTAAATTCACTTACTGATGACTGTTTAACTACTTCTGCTGGAAACCTGTTCCAAGCTCCAACTACTATTTTGATGAGATAATATTTTCTATGGTTAGTGTTGAACTTTCCTCCCACTAGCTTGAAGTAATTTTCCCGTGTTCTTGATCTTACCTTCATATTAAAAATACTGTCCACCTGAAGCTTATTCGCACCCTTCATGTATTTAAAGGTTTCAGTTATGCCCTCCTTTTCTGCAGTCACTCCTCATGTTTTACTCCTCAGACCGTTCACAACCATTTGCCTGTCTCTGGACTCATTTAATCTTATCACTTTTATTCCCCATGGTCCCCGTGTGTGTTGTAAAGTAGACACTGCTCCGAGCTCGCTCCAGTGATGGACTACAGTGTCATGTTTAGTTTACTAATTTGTTTTGAGATTTTAGTCCATCACAGGGACGAGCTTTGAGCAGTGGCTACTTTACAATGCACACAGGGACCATGGGAAACAAAAGCAGCCACCCTCTAGAACAGAGGTAGCAAACCTCCGGCCCTCCAGCTGTGGTGGAACTACAAATCCCATGATGCATTTCAAGATTCTCACAGCCACGAGTCCCGAAGATAGACGCATCATGGAATTTGTAGTTTCACCAGAGCTGGAGGGTCGGAGGTTTGCTACCCCTGCTATAGAAGGAAGGACAGTGTCAGCACCAATTCAGAGATGATTTGATAATCTACAGCCGAGTGACACACAAATAAGACAGATTTTTGTTAATAGTTAGGGTACTTAAATACATTTTTAAGATTTAACTCCTTTAGTGTCATTTAGTGCCATTTAAAAGTTTCTGCAAAAGACTATCTCTAAAGCAAAACGACAACAAGCGTAAAAGTACAGGCACGTAAAAGGTACCTGCACATATCTGCAGCAGCTGTAAAAGCCTGCAGATACTGCTGAATGCCAAGCCATTCTGACAGGCAAAACTCCTGAATGTCCTAATAGTGCTGAAGCTTGTTCACCCCTCCTCGCTTCCTGCAAATTCCCACTTGCCAGTGACAAAGCCCGCCATAGGACTTGGTGACGAGCTACAACACTACCGTTAGTATTTGAACTTTGCCAGTCAGAACAGACCAGCATTCAGCCACAACCACAGGCATGCTAAAGCTGTTGTTGGCATATTCAAGCACTATAATGTGTCTACAGTTAAATTGATATTAAAGTCAAAAGGATTTTAAGCTATTTCAAATGCTGATGAAATCACTTTAATGGATGCTGCTTCTTGATGTTTAAAAGTTTTAGTTTCCTGCAGTATCAGCTGACCCCGAGCACTGGTCCTGACTTGCCGTTTTAGAGTGCCTCCTTTGTCAAGCAGAGTGCTTTGCAGTCAGCCTTGTGTGTGCAAGTAAGCTGTGTGCGTCTCCAGCAAATCAAGCTACTACACTCCTCCTTGCCTTGTACTCCCTTCTCCAAGCTAGTATATGAACAGTTGCTGGAGTCTGCTATGTCCCTTGTGATCGTGTACTGGACAGAAAATTCAGGGAAGCCGAGCTGAGAGACTTGGAAGCAGCTGTGTTTGCCCAAACACTTATGATGATTATAAGTGTTTGGGCAAAAATGTAAATAAATACTTTGCTGGGCAATGTATATTTGTTTGATCTGGATTCATTACTGCAAAAAGTTTGAGAGTTTAATACTACTGCAATACCTATGGCAGTGCTTTTGTTTTTCCTTCTAGAGACAGAGCCCATTTAAACATGCACATATGTTCTTAAATATAATGGGGGGAATTTATCAATACTGGAGCAGACAGAAGCTGGAGCCGTTGCCCATGGCAACCAATCAGCTTTTCTCTTCAGTGTGTTCAGTTAAGATTTAAAAATGAAAGAGAAGTGGATTGGTTAAAATGGGTAACTGCTTCAGATTTTGTCAGCTCCAGTTTTGATTCATCCCCCTCACTGTGTCTTTGGTGCATTTTAACATGGTTTTCTGTATATTAATATACTA